TACCTGCACGTATTAATATGTTGACTTTGGTATTGTGTCCAATTTTATTTTATATGTATAGATGGATATATTTCTGATGCGTTTACTTTGATAGAAATGAGTATTAAAATGACTTTTTGTATGAGGCAAGAAAACATAATGTTTATAGTTTTTGTGCAATTAAATACGAAGAAATAATGCGAAAATAGGAAAATTTACATAAATGATTGTTGTAGATTGATATATAATTATATGACTTCATTGAATTCTTCAAGTTCATACTTTGCTTTCGTTGATTTAATTCATCGTTGAGAACTTATTATGTTAAAACAAGAAATACATTCTAATTTATTTGGGGGATGGTGGAAAGATTATTTTTTAATTTAAAAGAGGCGAAAAATAGGAGAGGCCAATGGATAAAGGATATTCGGAGCATTTTAGTTGCTCTAGTCGAGTTTTCCTGCTGGGATTCCAATAATAACGGAAAAATTCTACTTATCAGATTTTTGAATTTAAAAATAAAAGTGAACAAGCTGTAAACGTTAAAACCAGTAATTATGCCTGCAAAAATATTCCGTCTTAACGGAACGTTTTCTGTATGCATTCACCACTGAAATAAATTTTTCTCTACTCGAGATTTTAAAGGAGAGTTTATTTTACCTTAGAACCCAGTTTAAACGCGTATCAACACGTGCGCAAAATCAACTCACCTGAAATTAGAGATGAAAAATATTTAAATTAGTTTCAATTATTCTTTCTTCAGGGTGTTGGTTAATAATTATATATGCTTGAAATATTATCTTGAACGAATTGACAATTATTATATATTTCGTAGATTAAACAGAATGTGAATATAATGCGAAGGAAATGCCTGTGATAAAAACAAGAATGTGGGAGGGGTGGACATTCCCTGCCGAGGGGCGCAATTAATTAAATTAAAAAAAAAATAATTTTTTTGAAAAATGTATGAAAATTCGAATTAAAAGTAATAATATTTTTATCATAAAATATACATGAATAAACACAGTTACTGAATTTATCAGATTATGCAGGATATTAATAATTCATATATACAAAAATTACACAGGTACATACTTTTCTGAGTTTTATATATTTATTGTGATCTAACTCAAAAAAAGCGCCCAAAACTTGAATAATGAATTGATTTAATAAACACAAAATAAAACAACAAAAGCCGCAGCTAAAGTTTGTTTGCAAAAATTTTAGACCACAGAGCTCATCAAAATAATCATAGCTAAAAGGAACATAAATCCTTTCAATGGCAAAAAAAAACAATGGAGATATATACACTGCGAACGAGGGCGACGTGCTGATTTGCAAGAAGAAAGAAGAAAGAGTGCGAAGGAGGAGAGCGTAGACTTCTCATATTATTAGTTTTTGGTACATCTAGGCAGTTCTCTTAAGTCTAGTAGCATATGTTTCGTACTGAGAAAGCAGATGTAATATGAAATCTCAAGTTTTACAGCGAAAACTGTGAAGCATACATATACATACATATTACTATATCAATAAGCTTGTACGCGTACAAATACTTATTTAAATGTGTGATGGTATAAAGGCCATTTGCTGGTGTAGTGTGTGTTCGTTAGATTGTAATTTAATGACTTTTGGCAACATCTCGGCGAAGTGATCAGATTCAGCGCAAAGTATAACAATAATAAAAGCCCACGAGCACACAAACTTACACTCGCCCAATTTAGGCGTAACACATTCTTACATTACTTTTGCTGTCCGTCACAACGGCAAAACCAAAGAGCCCAAGAGGGCATTTTGGAAAGTTAAGTGCAACCACACCCTCCTTGGGGCTACAAGCGACAAAGACAGCAAGCCGCACACAGCTACATGCACGTGACGTATCGTTGGCTGCTTAGAAATGTATGTGTATGTGAGTGTCTTAGCTTCCCAACAGCCCAGTCGCCCAACCGCTTAACCCCAGTACCTTCGTGCGGCTAAAATTTAAAACGTTTCAGCTAAGATTTATGGTTTGGACCGTCTCAGGAGCAGATTCAGTAGTGCACAGAAAGTGTAAGGAGTATCATAAAACAAAACAACAACAACATCAACAATAACAACTACAAGTCATATGGTGGTAGAACTAAAATCGCACAGAATTCTAGCAGAAGCGCGTCACATCGCGCAATTGTGCCATGCGCTGCGGCACAATTGTTTCTGCTGTTTTTGCAATGCAATTCCATGCCTTTCCGCCATTTTCTCAAAGAAAATTGCACACTTTTGTTTCGTTATAACATCTCAGGAAGGGAAGGAGACGCTATCGTCTCTGCGGAGGCCACAGGAAACCACAATAACGATTACGATGACGTTGACGTAAATGTTGGCGTTGCCGCTGGCTTTGGCTTTGGCTCAGTTGCCAAATTGAAACTGATGGGTTTGGTCGACTGTTTGCGCGCATACAACGACGTGCACACATTTCGCATTGTTTCAAATATCTTTACAGATTTTCGCACAAATGCTGAAAATGGGTACGAATGGAATAAAACAAAAAATACAAAAGAAATGAAGGATAAGAAACGAAATACGAAATTGTATATCGAACGATTTTCATTCATTCGATATGTCCCACAAAATGTCCATTGACTCCTTAAAGTTACATGGTATGAGATAACTTAAGACTGCTATTATGTAATAAATTCATTTACAAAGCACTTGAAAGTACTACATACATTTTTGATCTTCATGCGTGATCCGCCAAAGAAAGCTGTCAAAATTATTTAACATTCGGACTTTATTTTGAGGATGGTGTACATATGAGTGTTTTCTAAATTCCCAAATTCCATCTAATTACTCCAGCAGTGATGGCGTACTTGCACTAGACAAGTAAAGATCTTTTTTTTGAATTTTTTCTTACATGCATAAAGCTATTAACTGTGCAAGTTTTTCATTGGATTTTTTTAGTATAACTTTTAGTGTTTTCGCGTTTGTCGTCGTACAAATTATTACTTTTATATGACTAGGTATTAATTTAAAGGAAACAAATCCAATATGGAATTATAGCAAATTACAACTGAATAATCCGTTAAATTACAATAACCATTTGCAAGGATAGTGACAGACACGCAAACACACATAGACGTGTTTAATTTGCTTAAAAATGATGGCATTCATTGTAATCGCACATTATGTTAAAGTGAATACAGATATGTGTACATATAAAATGAGGATTTAACTCTGTAAGGTATGCATTATGTACATACATGAGTATGCAATCTACTGAATGGCAGCGACGTCGCTCGGCATTAAGCCTCTTATGCGCCAACGGCAGTCGCACATTGCCAACATCATCATTCCCAAATGTGTCGGCATAGAGGAAATACGCTAAAATATGAGAATAAAAGCAATATTACAATAAATGTCGCATTCTGTTTTTCATATTTTCTTTTGCTCATTTTTTATATTCTCTGTGCTCTTCTCTTATTGTTAATATTGTTGGCGAAAGCGCGTGTGTTTGCCGTTCCCATTTAAAAATTTCTATTATTTTCGCGTTTATTGTTTTTGTTGTCTTACTCTTTCATGCCTTGCTGTATGTTGTGCTCTTGCGTGGCCTGTCATGTCACTTCATGGATTAAGAAATTTCTATGCGAATTATAATGGTGTTGAACATAAGCGCACAAGTATCACAGTGAAAAACTAAAGTGGTTCAAGTATATAAAAACTCTAGTTCTATACTGGTATTATAGAGATGAAATCCTACTAGTGCGCTATTTGTTGGCAAAACACTAGTTACGTCGTCGTAAAAGCTATAGTTGTATGAAGTTTTAGCACAACAGAATTGAGTTTCGTTTACAGATACGCTGACATGGTAGCCGAGGGACAAGAGTTATCGCTGTCAGGCCTGAGGCCTACAGTTTGACACTCACTCTTGGGATTCTATTTTCATTTAAATATTTGTAGACATGGCGTGTGAAAGTCGTTTACATAGGAAAAGAAAATCATACTAGTAGCACACTAGTACACAACTAGTTGTTTTCACGGCGGAGAGCTTATGTCAGCCATGTACGAGAATATGTTTGAATGCATGAGGGGCGAGATATACAAATTGTAAAATATCGCGTTTTAATTCTACGACTGCAAGTATGTTTGCGCGCAAAATACCATTTGATTCGTGAAGTTAGTGCAGCACTTCACCAGCGCTACCAGCTCATATCGTATCCTTTTGTAACTGAGTGTGAAGTATAAAAGGCATGGATTAGAAATTAATGCGACTTTCAATTATTTATGTGTGCTTAGGTATTATCGTTTTGTTGTTGATTGCACTCGACTCTAGTGTGTTTGGTGTTGTGGTTTACTTTTTTTGATTGAGAACGTATTTATAAAATATGTATATTGATTGGGTTACTTTTAATCCTTGACTGCATCGGTTGACACTCGATACAATTTGAATTGTGTTTTCTCTTCACAAATTACTAAAATGAATAAGTCTGATGCATCTCGCGCGGATTTTTTAAATTTGGAGTGTTTGAAAAGCCAAAGGCGTTATTAGACATTTGGCTATTTGAAAATTTCTCTTATTTGTACTTAATTTTGAAAATTTTAAATAATGGGTATACAGTTATAGCTTTTAAAATGTACTAAGCTGATCTTTAAGAACTCTCCTAAGAGTATCTTCAAATTCTTCTATCAAATACATATATAGTGATATTGAAAAGTTTTAGAGCTATCTTTGTCTTATTGACATCCGTGTTTCGACAACTGCACTCCAATTTCATCCAGTACAATTAATCTTGGTTCAACTGAACTCAAAAGAATATCAATTTCCGCGAAATATAGTTTAATTCAATTCAAACCTTTTGCCGAACTGGAGATTTTTAGTTTTTAGGATAATTTGTGGAGGTGAGTTGCCGATTTCTCAATTGATGGGGCTGAGCCCAGTGGAAACACAATTTGGGTATTCAATGTAAAAATAAGTTGCATAGAATACAGCGGGAGAAAAAACTAGTGAAATAGTCATTTAAAACTTTCTCTTTTCTCTTTTTTCGACTTACCTTTCGTAGAAACATTTCGTTGCATTGCTTGGCCGTACTTCGCCAGTGCCTATGACGATAGCGTGAGTTGCCCAATTTTAACGTCCCATGCAACTCGGCCGCTTCCTCAACAATTCGTTTGATGCACTGATAGCGCAACCGATTACAACGGTAAATCGGCTTTAGTGCCATTGTGCCTTGTTCGGGCTCTGATTCGGCACCGGAACGCACCTGCTCCTCGTCGTCGTCTACCCACGCGCTCAGCACACCTTCAACGAAATTGTAAAGCATCTGTATGTTGGCCTTCATCGGCGCCGAACCGGACGGAACTTGTTCAGTTTTGATTAGTTTACGATTTTGACAAACTTCTCGAAGTAAATTCTCACCGAAATGCACCGTTTTGTGACGACGTCGACGCGAATTTAACGAGGCCGCTGACGCGGATTTCATTAGTTTGCCATTAGTGCCGTTCAGATGCGACATACCGTTGCCATTGCGACCGTTATAGAAATGTCGGCCATTCGTTGCAGATGCGATGTGCAGCGACGAAGGTGGCAGTGGGAGTTGTGAGCTCTGTATGACGGTTGTCATTCCGGTTACCATCGAGTGGCCGCTCCCCACCAGTGCGCCGTCAACACCATCCTGTTGCCATAAACCGGCAGCGGAATCGCCTCGTTGCAGTGTATTCGGTTGTGAGTTGCTGCGATACTGCATGCCGGGGTGGCGAGGCATTTGTGGAGATGGCGTTTCAGGCGCTGGTTCTATATCGTCGAGCGTTGTTGGCGGTTGAACGAGAGTGGTGCGCAGCCGATTAAAATCTGCTGCGCTGCGGGGCAGTGAGTTGCATTTGGCGGCATTGAAGCATTTACGATTCTGGCAGGTAAGTAATGGTGCACACGACCTACACTCGTGGCATATCACTAGCCGTCGCTGGGGTTGGAATTGTTGCTGCTGTGACGTAGGAGGCGGTGGTGGTGGCGGCGTTGGTGTGTCATCTGAAGTTATGTTTGCGGGCACTGTGTGCATCTGTGCACGCGCCACTTGCTGATGACGTGCGAGGTTCATCGTTGATGTCGATGTGGTCATGGAGATTACCGCGCTGCGATCTATTGTCTGACATTCTGGGAAGCGGCAGTGCGGATCAGCGCAGATGGGGAGTAAGCGGCAGGCGGGATCATTACAAGGCGAGGGCGAACGCGGTGCTCGTTCAGCTGATGAGGATTTTCTTTTGAGGCCACCATTATGATGCCCGGACATATCGGAGACAGTGGCCGAACGTTGTGTTTGATGACGGCGCGAACGTTCACGCTTCGACTCGCGTACAGAAGCGCTAGTAACGGCAGTGGTTATCTTTGAGCTCTCCTTGGGAGGCAGCATAATCATATCCTTGGTATCCTTAGGCACATACTGATAACGTTCTTTATGCGGCTTTGCATAGAGGCGTTCTAACTGACTCTGCGCCGCTGCTGAAGTGGTGAGTGCGGTCACAACTTCGCTGGCAGAATGTCGGAGCTTGCGTTCGCGTGTGCGTTCATGCGACCGCCTTTCTCGTTCGGCGCATATGGGTTGCTGGTGTTGTATTTGTAATTGTGTTTGAGGCGGAGGAGCTGCTGGCTTGTGATGGTGTTCGGCAAAAGGCTGTCGTCTTTCTATCGTTTGCATCTGCGGCTGTTGTTGTAGTGGCTTACCCAAAGATTGCAACCGATTCAGTGGATAAGCTATCCAATCAAGCATCTCTTCTTCGCTGCGATCGCTATGACCCAGCGAGTGTCGTTTGCGCGCCGCCTGTTGTGTGATGGTGGCATCTTCCTGGGAATGAGAACGTTGGGTATCGCCACTGCCGTTGCGCCGATGGTGAGCGCGACGCGTTTGCGGTGGTGGTGCCTCTTCACGTGCCGAACTACGTGACGACGTCTGCAATTTCGTTAGCCACTCAACAATGTCCGTTTTGAGTATAGAAAACTCGCCGGGTGGCCCGGAGCTCTGTCTGGACAATGGCTTTTTTAGCAGTTCCGCGAGCTCTTCTTTAAGCGCTTTGGCATAGGAAGTAGTGCTTGTCTTAGATTCAGATGGCCGGTCTGCCATTGAACGTTTGCGTGGCAGATGTTCCAGTAGCCAATCGGGTACCTCATCTTTCATAACAGTGATTTCACTGGGTCCGGAAGAGGTGCGTACTGGTCCTCTTTGTCGTTCTAACCACTCAATAGTTTCCTCACGCACAGCGCCGCTTTCAGCTGAACGCGCTGAGTGTCGTTGTTTCGCCTTACGATCAAACCACTCCAATTCATTAGGTGGACGTGTCGTACTTTTCGACACGGGCACCTCCTCTGCACTTTTCTGACGACGAGGTGGCAGCTGAGGCTTTCCATCGCCATCCGCAGTATGACGGTGTACATGCGGATGGGAATGCGGATGACTATGTCCATGTCCATGATACATCTGTGTATGCGCAGCCGATGCCGCTACCGAGGCTTGTCGTGGCGGTGGCTCCGGCGGCAGTCGTACCGAACCCTTTCGTTTAATCACCTTCTGTTCTATAGTATCTTCATCACGTGCACGTACGCGCCGCGTGATCTCGAATATATCACCGTTGATTTGATGATAGAACTTCTCTACCTCTACCCCGCGGTCAAACTGTTCTTTAATGTGTCGCGTGACTTGGGTTTGGGACTTTATGCGCGACGGTGGGAGAGGTGGAAGTTCTGGTTCTTTCTCATCATCGCCATCACCATCAGAATCAGCTGAGCCAAGAAGCACGCCCGACCCACCACCATCTACAACACCGCCAATGGAATGCACAGCCGAAGCGCTGGGTCTTTGCTGCTGTGACTGCTTCTCTTGTTGCTGCAGTAAACGATCCAGCGAGCCATGATGAGTTCTCAGCGCGGGATCCAGCTGACCCAATTGCGCTGTTTGCTGCTCCAAAGCCTGCATACGACATTGGGCATTACAAATGCAAACGCCACGTTTCTTACTGCCGAAACGAAAGAGGCTGCTCGCTAACTGGGACACACCATCTCCAAGTACACCACCACCACCACCGCTGCCGCTGCCAGCGGTTACATCCCTTCCCGAGGCCGTTGTTGCCGATGTCAAACGAGCGGCCTGTGAAACTGGCGTTATGTCGACTATCACGCAACAGCAATGCAACGAGAAGGACTTCTTATCGCTGCCACTGCCGCTAACAGAGTTGTTATTATCGCTTTCGCTGTTATGTGAGGCGGCCAGAATGAGCGGCTATTAAATTCAGGCGACGCACAGGCGGCGAGTCCTCGAAATCGACAAGTGTAGCGGGTGGTTTTGTGTGCGTAAAATGCCCAACGGCGCCTGTGAGGTGAAGAGGAGATCGTTGAATCTGCGCAAAAACGTTTCGGGATGGTTTTACAAAAATCTAGAGTTTCGTTACGTTTTTGGTTGTTGGTAATATGGTTTAAATGATTTTGATAGCCACCTCCCGAGGTTCGTTTAGAATGAGGAGCTAGTATTGACACTGTGAAGAGTATATGCAGGTAGCTGACTGCAACTAACGATGTGGTTGGTGCGCTGGTGCGGAATAGCGGCAATGGCGCGTGGTTTATTTGTATTTTCGAAAGGAGAGTCTGAGTTTCGTAGATGGCACGAACTCTGTGGTGTTGCAACTGATATAGGTATGGTTGCGTGTTAAAGCTGCGCCGTTGCCTGTGGTAGGGGCAAGAAGGGATTTTTTTTGGTTGGCGATAAATGTCTGCTTCCCAAAGAGCTGTTTTTACTTTGCTTGTTTTCGTCGTAATTGGGTGTGCGGCTAGCAATTTTTGAAGCGTGAAAACAACTAAGAACATACCAAAATATGCGTGGTGCTTTTCACAGCTGAATACTTTTATTGGGATGCAGTAATTTTGCGATTGAATTCAGAAATAATTTTTCCATATCCTTTTCCTAAGGAAACAACTGATTGTGGATGTGCGCGCTAAACAATCGGTTAATTTTTACCACACACGCACTAAATATCAGGTGTAATATATGTTCTAAATTTTTTCCAATTTCTAAATCAATTATGCATGTTTCCTACATTTGGATGCACGCTCTTAGGCTTTCAAGCTCGCTTCGAAGCAATGATTTAGGTTAGCACCAATTAACTTTTTTAACTATTTTTGTTTGTGTAATTATCCTTTGATTTCATTACTTAGATTATTTAATGAGTAATTACTATAGATGTTAACATTAATAGCTACTATAATAAAATCTCCTTTTTGATAATTTCCATCCAATTCCTAATGAGTTTATTTTTTCGACTTAATTTAATATTTTGTCTTAAATACCGCTAAATATCACTAGTGTTAACTGAAAAACTGTGTATCGTGGGTCAATTTGTTCCATAACGGGGCTGACCGTAATAAGATTAGACTTCGCAGATGACGCCATCGGCGTATACTCTTGTGGACTCTATAAAGTGCGTGCGTTCATAAGGGTTTGCACTACGGCGTTAAAGTTAAAGCATATTAAATTCGTTGGAAATAATATTTTTTTGTATATTTAAGCTGAATCACTAAACACAAACTATTTTCAAATTTATATTTTTAATAAAATTTCGTCAGCTATATACTTGGGTTGTTGCATTAGCACCTTATATTCATTTAACTAACTTTTGTTGCCATTATTTTGCACCTTTGCTCGCACTAGTACATATATATTTTTTAACTAATTATATAATCCCAATAATTTTCGCTATTATTTGATTATATTATATATGAGAAATATTTTTGTTCTCTATATTTTTCATTAGTCATTTGATATATATTTGAAATTTTCCACTAAATTTGTTACGACTTAATTTTCGACATTTTTTATTGAGTCGCATTTACTTCTAAGTTATATATTTATGTATATTCCACTATATTACGTTTTGTGTTTTATTGATAAAGCGAGTACCAGTCGCATATTTAAATTTATTCTTAACACCGTTGTTTATTACTTTAAACTTTGAATTTTTATTTATACTTTCGTTAAACATTTAACTACAACACTGTTATAAGTTATAGACACCAAGAATATACGCTTTTTCATATCTTATTTGTATTTATCTCCTTTCAGATGCTTCGAACTTCGATTCTACTTTGCATTTATTATACTAATTTTAATAATGATGACTTGGGCGATGATTAAATATGCTAGGGTGTTTAGTAGTCTATAAATTTTTACTAATTAAATAAATAAAGTCATTTTCACGTTGCCCTTGTTGTTTATGGCATATTTTGTAAATATATTTCACTTTATAATTTTTAATCTTGAACGAAGTTTTGCACTAACAAGATTCCATAAATTTTGATTAAGTGATTCTTTTATATTTTTCTTTTTGGTTTAATGTCAATTTGTTGTTAATGATTAGGTTTCATTATAATTTCAAGGCTCCACAATGTCTCTGTGGTTAAATATATACAAAAAATACAATCAAAAAGCAATACAAATTCTTTCTACATATGTGTATGGGTATGTGTTTGTAAAGAAACCGCACACTTGAATATACTTGCTGATCCCTCATGCATTCATACAAGATAGGTATTGTAAAAAAACACAAAGGTGGCAAATAAGTCGCTGTGGTGGTAGGCTAGTCGACCACATTACGCTTTGATAATAAATTTTGTTATAGAAATTTGCCTTACAACGACGGAATCTTAAAAAATAGAAAAAAGTTGTTATTAATATAACTTTGCTTTCGAATCGCAACTCATAGGAAGAGAAAGACGCCGACTAAAATGTCAAATCGTCAATGTGGATTTTAATTTGATCAGCAGTTCAGGCGATCCGTCAGCCTAATTGTGCATACGGTGTGTACGTGTTTGAGGAAAAGAGTTAATCGACAATTCCATAAGATTCTATAGATGAGCTTGCAGAGGATTTCAGAACTAAGGTCATTGTAGTGACATTCCACCACAAGTATGAAGAAGTTCTGCTCATTACCGATTCCCCATTTCTTTTAACCTCTCTATAATATAGATTTATCGAAATGAGAAAATAAATGGAAATATGTATGGGTGTGCACTTGCATACAAGTACCAGCACCAGCATGCATGTACCACTAGCCGGGTAAAAAATAGTGAGCATTTGAAGAGTTAAAAAATTAAAACAGCTTGTAGAACACCAAAATATCCGTCAACAACTCAAAATATATTCATTTTATATATCGCTTCCATCTGTGTCCAACAGCCCCACCTGCACGCAAAAAAAAAAATATACTGAACACATGGCTATGAAGCTTGTTTGCATTTGGTTGCTGATATGAAACGGTGAAGGACATCCGCTGCGAGGCTTATAACACATTCTTTGCATGCGTGCAATAGTTGCAAAATACGTACATGTGTATATATTTACATATGCACTACAATAGCCACATACGCGTACATATATATGTCTGCGTGTGATAAGCATTGAATATTATGCAAAAAAGTAATAATAAAAGTAGGATTTTCAGCTGAAAAAATACAAAACAAAAATTGAGTGCAAAAAGAAATTGAAGGCATAAACCTTCTCTCTTCTGCGTTTACGTTTTTGGCGCAAGGACATCGCCAATGATTGTCGGTTCCTTGTGCTTGCGTTGCCTGCTGGTTGATAGTTGCAGCAGTCGACGCTGTTCGCTACTTTTGTTGTTGACCATTCGGACGATCGGTTGTCGCGCATATTTTTTAACTGCGCAACAGTGACTAGACGGGCAGTCGACGGTGGTGGCCGTTAGAGGCAAAAGTGATAGCTGCGAACAGTTGCAAATTATTGCTGGGAAGGCTATAAAATTCCCACCAACATACTGGATGGATGCATAGGTTTGCACTTTTATTGCAAAAACATAAATGCCTTTAGAAAGAGAAAATGTAATGAAACATACGCATATTTCAGATCACAAAAAGCTTAAAAATAAATCAATATTGACTGTATTGTGAAGAAATTCCAGCCGAAAAGGAAGATTTATCCTTTTTTTATTTTTTTTTACACTTTATGTTATTTATTTATTTTTTATTGAATTTAGTTTTATTGAATTTCCAAGAATGAATTTTGTGCAATCAAATACACTGAAGGCACCTTCAAAATTTTTTAACTAATTTAAGAAAAATTCGGAAAGTTTCACATATACGTATGTATATGCACATAAATACATAAACATACGTCCACACACACACAGGCGGCTGCAACGAGGTATGTGTGTATGAATTTGCCGTGTGTATTATGGAAACAAGATGAAGGCCGTGACGTTTATAATATCCTTGTATGCATGACGTAGCTGATGGTGACGCTGCTGCCGTAAGCTGGTCTGCAGGAGCAGCATGCAATTGCAGCTAACGAAAGGAAGTTGTTGGAGTTTTTAAGTTTAAGTTAATTTAATTCTAGGGATTTTGTCATGTTACTCCTCTCAACCTCTAAACCTACTTTAACTTTTATCATATTCGCCGAATGTTTTTGAATTATGCGTAAAATATTTTACATTTTAACGCGGTTCTTCGCTTTATTTAGTACACTTTATTAATATTAATGTAAAATTTGTGTGAAATTAATTCATTTAAATTTATTTATTAATTACTAACAATTATTACCGTATTAAGTTTTTTCTTATTTTTAATGGCTTTTTAGTTCAAGTAAAAGGTTTGTAAACTATTGTATAAAATATATTTCCCATAGAAAATGTTCAGACACACACTCGCATTGACGTATTTTAGTTTGATTCGGCGCCTAAATCTAGGCAAATGGAATAAAAGTGTGTTATAAGTTGTTTCATTTATGGAGGTGCTGCTACTGCCGCTGCCAACGTTGTTCCTATTTCGCACACTCATAAGCTTACAGTTTTGTTCATCCAACATTCATACATACATAAATAAATCCACAAGGTTGTATATGTGCATGTGTCAAGTTTTATTTTGCAAAAAATGTTTGTCTTTTGTTATGGCTCCATAAAATGTGCGAATGTTTGTATGTATGGTTTCAAATAAGTGTACATGTGTGTGAGATTTCTTGCCTATATTATATATGTTAAGTGTTGAGCGTTGAGCGTAGAGTCGCTTGCATGTTGGTGTGG